AATTCAGTGAATAGTTTATGCACTGTTATCTTTCCTCCACTTTTGGTAAGGCATGACATAAGACAAGGCTCATAGGTTAAAGAGCTTGTTTATTGATCGTAAATAAATCATGATCATCAGGAAGATTCAAGCACAGAATGTTTCATCAGAGAGTGGTTCTCATGGCAGTATGTAAAGCTCTTCAACCTTGCCTTTAAGCCGTTTCTGCAGGCCATATGGGAAAACTCAGCCATAAGGGAGATGGAAGAGTTACCAGAACAACACAAAGTAGCAGCATATGCAGATGATCTGCTGTTCTTCATCACATCACCTGAAGCATTACTACCAACTGTCATGACAGAGTTCTAAATGTGTGGAGCTCACTTAAACCTCGATATAAACTTCTTCAAGTCTCAAACTCTAAATGTGAATATATCGCAGAGGCAGGCGGGCCCACCCCATCTGTCAAAGTTTCCCTTTCTGGTGGAATGATTCCGCCATGAAATACTTGAGGATCTGGCTTATGATGGATGTGGTTAAAGGAACAGCGCACACACAAAAATAAAAAAATAATGATCCCAGCTTATTAGAAAAGAAAGAGAACTCCACCACTGAAGGCATGGCTTCACAGAGTTAATATCAGACCAATTGAACAATTAGCTTATAGGGGAAATATAGCAGGAGACCATGTTAAGAAATGGGAACTTATTGGTTCTAGATCTGGCTCTGAAGCTTTGTATCAAAAGGGTTAAAAGACATGTGGGAAGGTGAGATACCTACTTGTCACAGATATGGGCTGGGGGGTACTGAGGTGGGATCGGAGGGGAGGTGAGAAACTGGGTCTTTTTTGTTTTGTTATTTATTAAGTATTAAAAAATTGAAATGAATTGTCTTCTACAAAATCGAAATTTGTGTAATATGTACAAATGCTTTGTTAATGTAATTTCTACTCAGAAATTGCTTAGTGAATGCACTAACCATAATGAAAGTGTAAAACTAGCTTTACTTACCTTCCAGGACCTTGCTGTATGTGCATCACAGGATCCAGCTGATTTCCCTCACCCGAAGTGACGAGGGTAGGGGATTTTCATGGCGTAGGGATTTTAATAAAACACCAGCCCTTTTCTTTTCAGCAGCCATCTGGGAGGAAGTGATAGCTGTGAGTCACTTCCTTCCATAAAGAGAGGAGTTGTGCAGGAGGGGGCAGAAGGAGCCGCGTGGGAGGGAGGATTAGAAAGAGGCAGTGAGGAGGGGGGATCCTCACTCCCATCAGCCTCAGGCACCACACTGGACCCCAGGTAGGAAACTGGAGGGTGGGTTTAAAAATGTAAATTGTACATGTATGTGTGTGTGTCTGTGTGTGTCAGTATGTCTGTATGTGTGTGTTAGTATTTATGTCAGTAAATGTGAATGTGTGTGAGGGTCAGTATGTCTCTTCCTTAAACTAAACTTGAACAAAACTGAAATTCTGGTCATTCCTCTTTCAAGTGTTGTTACTCCTGTGTCTGTCTCCCTCCAAGTCAGCTCTACCACGCAGGCTCGCTGCCTAGGTGTTCTCTTTGACTCCGACCTCTCCTTCAAGCCTCATGTTCAATCTATTGCCAAATCCTGTCAATTCCATCTCAAAAACATTGCGCGCATCGGCCCCTACTTAACGCCAGATGCGACTAAGGTGTTGGTCCATTCCACTGTCCTTTCTCGCCTTGACTATTGTAATCCGCTTCTCAGTGGTCTTACGCGCTCCCAACTAGCGCCGTTACAGTCCATCATGAATGCGGCGGCGAGACTCATCTTCCTGTCCGCCCGCACCTCCCATGCCTCACCCTTCTGTCAGTCCCTACATTGGCTTCCTATAAAATATAGAGCTCAATTTAAAAATCTGGTTCTTGCTTTCAAATCTCTACATAATGCTGCTCCCACCTATCTATCCTCCCTTATACACAAGTATGTCCCATCTAGGCCCTTACGATCTGCTGAAGACTTACGTCTATCTTCTGTCCGTACTCCCACCTCTGGTGCTCGCCTTCAAGATTTCTCGAGGGCTGCACCATTCCTGTGGAACTCGCTTCCCTCCTCCGTTAGATGCTCACCCAGTCTCCACTCTTTCAAAAAATTGTTAAAAAACCCACTTCTTCATAAAAGCGTATCAATTAAACTGTTAATAGCTCCTGACTGATTCCTCTTCTGCAACTGTCATTAGTCTAATACTATCCTTACCTTTTTGTGTCATTTTATTCCACTCCCTCTAGCATGTAAGCTCATTGAGCAGGGCCCTCAACCCCTTTGTTCCTGTGTTCAACTTGTCTGGTTACAAATACATGTCTGTTCGCCCACCCATTGTAAAGCGCTGCGGAATTTGACGGCGCTCTATAAATATCATCATCATAATAATAATATTCCATTGCACATCAGGCTGATCCCATTTATAAGGGTAGTCCAGAACTGGCAAGTTCACTCTGCACAAGAGATACAGTAATTCCGGGTGATCATTTTGGCCTTCTTTGGGCCTCATCAGTGAGGTGTAGTTGAAAACCCCTCTAGGCACAGTGAGCACGATGTCCACATCTGGATTAACCTTTTAACTTTTAACTTACAGTTTGCACTTTGTTGTTTAATGTCTCTGCTTTTTGCAACAGATTGCAAGAAAATTTATTCTTGTTCTTGTATAATGCTTCTTGGAGTTCCTTTCACTCTGGCTTTAAAATTACAATGACGGATGCTATAAGCCAGGGCTCAATATCCAAAGTACATAGTAACAGTTTGGCTTGAACTCACGGTCTTCCTGTTAAAACTTCATACTTTATTTGAAAATGTTAAAATGCTTTGTGGATCAACGTTTCAGTCCCCATTCGGGACCTTCCTCAGGATCATAAAAAATATTTTTTTGTGTAGATAGTCTATTAGCAATGATCATTATTGCTATAAAGGTATTTTTGTAGAAATTAGAATTTTTGCACATCGTCGATGTTGCGCCTGAATCAATCCAATGATTTCTTATAACTGTATCTGTCTTTTCTTGAACAATAAATGTGTTTTACTGTGTTCTCTTCTGCCACGTAGAGACTTTTTCCTTGTGTAGTATAGCCTTTTGTCAAGTTGTTTCTTGCAAGATGAGATTTAGCTATACATATAAAGCATTCTTTGTTTTTGTCCTTATTGTGTGCAAATATATTGTCTAATGTGATAAGTTGATTTGTTTCCTAAGATAAGCTTCTCATTAGAGTGGAGCGGACACCTGGATATTCGGGTCTGGCGTGTTGCGCTGCTATTTTTCTTTCAGTGTGAGAATACACTGCAATACTGTGAATGGAGAATGGCAGGGAAAGGAAGCTACAGTTTATCCCTGCTTCTTTCTCCTGACTGCATCCGCAGGGGAGCAGCAGCCAGCAACTGCAGAGACAGCCTAGGGTAAGTGAGGGCAGCATGGGGGCAGACTACAGATCAGATAAATGAGACATGATGGGGGGGCAGCTTATAGATCAGGTAAGTGAGGCATGGGGTGGGGCGAGACTACAGATCAGGCGTGAGACTGGGGGCGTACAAGATCAGATAAGTGAGACTTGGGTGGCAGTCTACAGATCAGGTAAGTGAGACATGGGGGGCAGCTACAGATCAGGTAAGTGAGACATGGGGGGGCTGCATACTGATCAGGTAAGTGAGACATAGGGGGTGCAGCCTACAGATCAGGTAAGTGAGACATGGGGGGGCTGCATACTGATCAGGTAAGTGAGACATAGGGGGTGCAGCCTACAGATCAGGTAAGTGAGACATAGGGGGGCAGTCTACATAGGGGGGGCAGTCTACAGATCAGGTAAGGAGGCATGGGGGGGCAGCCTACAGATCAGGTAAGTGAGGGATGGGAGGACAGCCTACAGATCAGGTAAGTGAGGGATGGGGGCAGCCTACAGATCAGTAAGTGAGGGATGGGGGGGAGATAGCCTACAGGAAGGTAAAGTAGAAGGAGCAGAAATGAGCAGAAAGGTTCTGCAAGTAAGGAATAGGAAGGATCAGGAGGCGGCAGCAAGAAGCAGGAAGGGGTCGGAATGGTTTGCAAGGAGCAGGAGGGTGAAGTAGAAGGAGCAGAGATGAACAGGCAGCAAGGAGCAAGGAGCAGGAGAGGGGTCAGCAAGCAGGAGGAGCAGGAGGGATCTGCAAGGGGCAGGAGGGGTCAGCAAGGGGCAGGAGGGGTCAGCAAGGGGCAGGATGGGTCAGCAAGGAGCAGGAGGGGTCAGCAAGGAGCAGGAAGGGGCAGCAAGGAGAAAGAAGGGGCAGCAATGAGCAGGAAGGGGCAGAAAGAATCAGAAGGAGCACAAAGGTAAAGTATGGAAAAGATAGGGTCTACAAGGAACAGAGAGGGTCTACATGGAATAGAAAGGGTCAGCAAGAAGCTGGAAGGGGCAGAAAGAAGCAGGAAAGGGCATCAAGAAGGAGGAAGGGTCTGCAATGAGCAGGAAGGGAAATCAAGGAGCTGAAAGGGTCAACAATTATCTGGAACAGGCAGAATGAGCACAAAGGTAAGGTGGGAAAAGGAACAAACATGAGCAGCAAGGAGCAGGAAGGGACTGCAAGAAGCAGGAGGGCGCAGAAAGGGGAAACAAGGAGCAGGAATGGTCTGCAGGAAGGGCCTGCAAGGAGAAGGAAGGGTCTGCAAGGAGCAGAAAGGGATCAGAAAGAGAAAGGAGCATAAGGGTGCAAAATAGGATGAAAGGTAAAGGAGCAGAAGGTGCCAAGGAGGAGAGAAGACCGTGTCAGAAGAAAAAGAAGACTGTGTCAAATGAAGGAGAAGAAAATAAGATTGGAGCAGGAAGGACAAGTGAAGTGATCCCTCCAGTGACACAACATCATAAGGCTTTGATACCTGGGCCTGGCAGGAAACGTTGGACCTTCTCATCTCCCCAGGTAAAAAAACATATCAGTGTTAATGTGTTCACTTTTATTTACTGAGTGTCAGGAAACACAGGGCCACTGGGTGGGGGTGCCACTGATTGGCTACACCATTCAGCTGGCACTCTAAGCCTATCAGTAGCTCCCCATTCATTAAAATGTAAAACATTTTATGAATCGGGAACTAGCGATTGACAGAGCGTCAGCTGACCACTCTATCCAATTAGCGGCACCCATGCCTGACGTCAATCTGCAATTCCTGACACTGTTTCAGAAGCCGAATACCACTAAATGACCTGGAGGTAGCCGTTGGGGTTAAACCATTTGAGAGCGGTTTCACTCCTTAAAGGAAAGAGAGCACCCAGGGGCCTCCTTGCATCATAGCATTTTCATTTAGATGAAGTTGTTATGATGACCAGAATGCTCCTTTAATTTGATTAAAGGAACACTACAGTGTCAAGAAAACAAACAAGTATTCCTGACATCATAGTTGTGAAAACTATTCACCCTGGCTTAATGTGATAATGACAATGCTCCTCCCCTTCATGACACTGTCAAAAAGGGGCCAAGCATGGATGTCAATACAATTATGCCCCCCCCCCCCAGAAAAATTCCTGCGGATGCCCAAAATGTCAGTATATAATAGTGTTACATGTGTCAGGTTGGCACAGTGTGTTAAATCATTGAAAGTGTGTGTGTCTGTCAGTGAGTGTGTGTCAGTGAGAGTGTGTGTTTGTCAGTGTGAGTGTGTCAGTTAGTGAGAGTGCATGTCTGTAAGTGAATGTGTGCGTGTGTGTGTCTGTCAGTAAGTGTGTGTCTGTTGGTCAGTGACTATTATTGTCTGTCTGTGAGAGTGTGTGTATGTCAGTGAGTGTGTGTCAAATCATTTAGAGTGTGTGTGTATCTGTAAATATGGATGAGTTTTGGTGTGTGTTTTTTCTTTTGGGGGGGGATGGGCAGCATTTCATCTTTGGACCCAGGCAGCACAATATCTTTGGCCGCTGGGACTGAGAAAGCTCTTAAAGAGATTTTCA